AAATGTGGGGAGAAATGTGGGGGGAAATGGGGAAATGTGCGGGGAAATGGGGAAATATGGAGGGAAATGTGGGGAAATGGGGGGACATGGGTTAAATATGGGGTAAAACGGGGGGAAATGGGGGGAAATGGGGGAAAATGGGAGGAAATGGGGAAAAATGAGGGGAAATGGGGAAAAATGGGAAAATCAGGGAGAAACAGGAAAAAAAAGGGAAAAATAGAGAAGAACACAGAGAAACAGAAATAAATGGAGAGAAATAAGGAGAAAGAGAAACAGGGAGAAATGGGGGGAAAATTGGGGGGAAATGGGAAGAAATGGGGAAAACCAGGGAGAAACAGAGAGAAATGGGGAAAAACAAGGAGAAATGGGGGAAAAATAGGGAAAAACAGGGAGAAATGGGGAGAAATGGGAAAAAAGAGGGAGAAACAGAAAAATGAGGGAAGATGGGGAGAAAATAGGGAAAATCGGGGCAAAACGGGGAAAATGGCGAAAAACAGGGAGAAGTGGGGGAAAATATGAAAGAAATGAGGAGAAATGGGGAGAAATTGGGGGAAAAGGGGGAGAAACAGAAAAAAAATGGGGAAAAAAGGGGGGAATGGGAGGGAAAATTGGGGGAAATTTGGGGGAAAAGTGTAAAAATTGGGAGAAAACAGGGAAGGAAAGGGGAAAAAGGGGAAAAGGAAAAAGAGGAAAAGGAAAAAGGGGAAAAGGAAAAAGAGAAAAAGGAAAAAGAGAAAAAGGAAAAAGAGAAAAAGGAAAAAGAGAAAAAGGAAAAAGAGAAAAAGGAAAAAGAGAAAAAGGAAAAAGGGGAAAAGGAAAAAGAGAAAAAGGAAAAAGGGGAAAAGGAAAAAGGGGAAAAGGAAAAAGGGGAAAAGGAAAAAGGGGAAAAGGAAAAAGAGGAAAATAAAGAGGAAAAGGAAAAACGGGAAAAGGAAAAAGGGGAAAAGGAAAAAAGGGAAAAGGAAAAAAGGGAAAAGGAAAAAGAGAAAAAGGAAAAAGAGAAAAAGGAAAAAGAGGAAAAGGAAAAAGAGGAAAAGGAAAAAGAGGAAAAGGAAAAAGAGGAAAAGGAAAAGGGGAAAGGAAAAAGAGGAAAAGGAAAAAGGGGAAAAGGAAAAGGGGGAAAAGGAAACGCGAAAAGGAAAAGGGAAAAGGAAAAAGAGGAAAAGGAAAAGGGGAAAGGAAAAAGAGGAAAAGGAAAAGGGGAAAGGAAAAAGAGGAAAAGGAAAAGGGGAAAGGAAAAAGAGGAAAAGGAAAAGGGGAAAGGAAAAAGAGGAAAAGGAAAAGGGGAAAGGAAAAAGAGGAAAAGGAAAAGGGGAAAGGAAAAAGAGGAAAAGGAAAAAGGGGAAAAGGAAAAGGGGGAAAAGGAAAAGGGAAAAGGAAAAAGAGGAAAAGGGGGGGGAAGGAAAAAGGGGGGAAGGAAAAAGGGGAAAAATGGGACAGAAAAAGGGAGGAAAAAATGGAAGAAAAGGGGGAGAGAAAAGGAGAATTAAGTTTATTAGCTCATTAACCGTTACTAAGCTAATCAATCCTCGAGCATCTAATTAACTTGGTTAGTGGATTAAAGGTTTTTAGTTAATGAGACGACCCAGGTAATAGATCCTGTCACTTAATCCCTAATTACATTAATCAGTTAGATCTTACCTAATGAAAGTGCTTCTGCCACCATTAACTATTAAGTAACAGAGCTAATTAATAAGATAAGCAAGCTAATTAAATATCTACACAGCTAAGTAATCAAATTATTCCTTGATTCCCCGAAAAGTTTGACCGGTCTGAGAGCAAAACCAACAAAATCCAGCAAAACTTGGCAAAATCGTAAACAAAACTCAACTAAGGCTGATTAAAAATAATTAAACAATGACATTAATAATAAATAATTGATTTAAACAATAACGGTTTAAATATAATAATTAATTAATTTAAACAATTACATCATCGATTTATCATTCATTAATCAGCTCTCTCCAGTTTGAGCCACTCACACAAGACCTCTGCTAATTAATATTCAACCCTTCAGCACCCACCCAACTAACGAGCTTTGTTCATAAAATCAGTTCATTAACGAGAATAATTAACCTACAGGCCAACTTCAGTAACCAATCAGCTTAATCAATTAATTAAAACAAATTTCAAGGGCGGCTCGAAGGGACCCTTCCCCTCGCCCAAACCCATTCCCATCCTCCCGATCCGCGTTTTCTGTCCGATTGCCGCGCTAATTAGCGCTAATTAGGCATGCAAATGAGGGCGCGGGACTCACGGGTGGTCCCGGTGGGCGCCCAGGTGGCAGTGGCGGCAGGTGAGGGCGTCGCAGGCGCTGCAGAACAGCGACAGCGGCTCCGCCGGGTGCGCCGGGCACGGCCCCGGCCCCGCCCGCGGCCCCGCCCCGCCTGCGGGAAAATAATAACGGGATAACGGGAATGGGGGAATGATTGATGGGGGAATGGTGGGGGAATGGTGGGGGAATGGTGGGGGAATGTGGGAATGGTGTGGGAATGGTGTGGGAATGGTGTGGGAATGGTGGGGGAATGGTGTGGGAATGGTGTGGGAATGGTGGGGGAATGGGGGAATGGTGGGGGAATGGGGGGGGGATG